GGGGAACAGCTACTTGATGTACAGGCAGATGTGTTGGGGCCACGTGACATCACATGACGATGTTCATAGCAACCATAGCAAGAACCTATGGGACCAGGGCAAGACAAAGGCAGATGCCATCCAAAGACCTTTTTGAACAAAATTGAACCTGCACATAAGTGTTAGGTGTTTTCAATCTGGTTTCCCAGCTCAAGAGACAAGTTCGAAAGACTTGCTTTCAAAAAAGGGGTCGATTGGAAAGACGTTCCGGATTTTGTGGGAGAATCTAAAAAGGTTAACCCCATATTTCGACTAAATTTTAGACATGCACTATTCGGATGATAAAACCCATGCGTAACTGTACGTTTTTCCAACAAAACTAACCCTATGATTTGTGGTATGTCAACCAACATGTTGGTGATGTCAATGTTGGTGGTATCAATGCGGATTTAATCCAACCAACCCCGAAAGCGTTGTAAAGGCAATGCCATAAACCTCCAATCCAATAACTATTTTTTGTCCCAATTCTCCATGTTCTGCCGTCATTTTCTCTCAACTCGCATATTAAAACTGGCGGCCCATCCCGGCGTATGCGTGCCGTGCCAGGTCGCCCACAGTGAGCACCCGGATGTCTCTGCAGCAGCCAACGGATCCGAAGAGTTGCAGCCCCAAGGATCCCAACTGTGCCTTGGTGCTATGGACATGGATGAAACATGAAAAAAACATTTAATTATCTAAATATATATATATAATATCTTATACAATCTTCAGAATATGTATCATGTTTTGGGGGATGAACCAATTACCAATTTTTCCTTTTGGAGTCATTGTGAGGTGGACAGGGTAGCGGGATTTTCACCCAACCCATGGGGATTTCACCAAGATTGAAGGGTTCAAGCCAACCGCAGGGATATATTGCGGATATCATGGGGAATTCCAATGAAGTCATGGAACATTTATGTAATGTCAGTCCGAAGTTCCTAACGGCTTGCTTTGGGGCTTCCATTTTGCAAATAGCAACTTTTTGATATATGGTGCAGCCAGCCGGCTAAAATCCCTAGGCTAGAGCCCACTGGCTATAGCCAGCTAAGAATTTAAGCCACGCAAATCTTGAAGCCGCTGGGGGTAGGGACAAAGAAATTTAGCCGGGTTACATGGGAAGATAACAAGTTTGAAATCATTTGCTAGCATGATGCATATAAGGAGCTAGGGCCTTTAGCCAATACAAGCTTTTCTGTAGGCATCGTTTTTGATTTTGAGAGGTTTTAAAGAAGCAGGAAGTGGCTGCATCATATTTAGTTCTTTTGTTTAAATCAAACGAATCATACAAATCTAGCCTGTGGAGGTAGGGTTTGACACAAATGCGCAAGTTTCTTCACACTGATTTCAAAATGATAAAGCATTGTCTGTGGCTCCTCGGCCGACCAGTGGGAGAAGTTTCGTTTGCTTTCGTTTCGCCTTTGGTATTTCTTGTTAGCGTGGTGGTTTCTTCAGAAAATTTTGCATCATTTATGAGGAACACCTTTGCTTATTTACATCACGCGTGCCCCAAGATTAACCAGCCTTTCAATTCTGCATGTGATCTGCAGCGTCTTCCATTGGATGGGTCGCTGGCAGCTTCTTTCTCAAGTTGGTGTGTGGGTTTCCTCTTGTCAATTTGGATGCTTCGACTGTATCAACTGTTTTTGATGTTTTATCTATCTTGTTTTTGCGCGTTCAAGACGCCAAAGCACACAAGAAAACTCTGATCACCCTGATCGCTTGATCACTTCGAGCGCGCAAACCCGGAAAACATGCAGCAGTGCTCGAACCCCTTCTTGGATCTGTGGGTAGGTGATTGTAGGGAAAGCTGCCCTACCCAATATAATGATCAGTATATTGGTGTATACCATGAAAACCTCAAGGGAACATCCGGAACCATTATTATGCAATAAATTTTTGGACCCATGTTCACTTGTGTGTTTTTCAGGGTTTCTTGTTTGTTTTGACCTGTGGTTTGCATATGTTGGCATGCTTGGAGCTGAACCTAAGTTCCAAGTCATTTAGCTCGGCAAGCTGCGACATTGTTGACTTAAAATTGTGTTTGGCTAAATTTTTGGGTCCTAGCCCCGGAGGGGCTAGGGCCAGGGGATTTAGCCTGGGAAAAAAACCCATGAACCTCGTCCTCACAGAAATTTAGCCGGCTAAATTCTGGGTCCTACCCTTTGTACGTAGTAGAACTCTAGATCTTTTTGTTGGGGGAATACCCTTTACAGATTAGCCAAGGGTTATCAACATGCGAGTGAGATTACTTGTTCCCATGTCCCAATTTTCCCTTGGCTGGTTGATGATCATGGCTTTGTCCAGACATTTTTTTTTCAACAAGAATTGCTATTCATCGATAGTGATTTCCCAACCCCCAGGTCACGATTCCTTCAAGAGGGTTGCAGATCTTCCGTACTGCTGTACACCCGCGTGCACCTATAAGGCCGAGGTTGTGTGCAAGACACTGGAGATTTCAACCACAGTATAAGGGTATTTTTTACCAACCGTGATTAATATACTGTAGAAGGGGGATACAGAAACAACAAATATGATTCGGGTTTGTGAAAAAAACATGGATTTGTTGCAGTCGTTTCCTAAAAAACCAGCTGGACAGAAAATTTAAGGGCATTTTTTTTGCGCTTTTTTTTTTTTTTCGACTTTATGGTTTCATGATTTTGCTAGAAAAAAATGGTTGACACTCCCTTGGCAGCGCAAATCCTGAACTCTTCAAACTCTCACCAGGCAAGACACGTCAACATCAGAGTATGTTTTTCATCCAGTTTGCCAGGAATTCAAACATGAGAACATCTTATAAAACATCCATAGTGACAAGAGAGTGTATCCGATGTTTAAAAAACATCCAGAAATGTGTTCAATCCATGGTTTTTCTCAGATCTCAGGCCGACAATTCCTCCTGCAGTTGCCCTTGGCGACGCTTCACCAACTACAAGCTGCGCGGCCGAAGACGGTTTTCACTCCGAATATGGGTCGCGAAGTCTCACGAAGTCGGTTTCTCACTGTTCCTCCAGGAACGATTTCTTACAGCACTTTTAGCGGGGAAACATATAGAAAGATAGTCGCAATTTTTCACAACAGCCATGTTTCAGCTGGGCTTCACTGCTTCGGTCACTGTGTCCTTCCATTGTGCTCAGGTGTCAGCATCTCGGCACAATTCATTGGCCGAAGCTTGCCCAACTGGGCTTGTCCAAAGCGAAAAGTCCAGAAATCAACTGGTTAATGAATGTTAAATATGTTAATCATTGTATGCTCCACTGCATTTAGTGGGATGCCTAACTGAGACAGATAACCAATTTTGGTATATTTTGGTTAGTTTCAAGGTTCAAAACCTATTATTTTTAGATACCGGATCTCGGTGTAAGAAGGAAGAGCAGACCCGGTGCTTGCCCGAGGTATGTGGACGGCGTGGGAGGGACTCAGATCTATCCCAATGATATCGCCACTTGGCATAGACTTCCCATGACTTCCCGCAAAGACTCCAAGCGTTGAGAAAATCCTTAATCCAAGGTGATCAACACCTTCCGACACGAGTACACTCAGGACGAAGGGTCCATTCAGTGGGTTGTGCCACATTTCAAGATCAAATGGCTGTTGCTGCATAAAATGTGCCATATTCTGTCATATCTGATCGGGTTCAAAGCCAGTGGCTTTTGGTGGGGTGTCCGCATTCTAGAATTGCGCTTAAACATTGTGTTCTCAATTTTTCTTTGCCGTTTAGGTTGTTTGTCCAGGAGGACACACACATATATATATATATATAACATGATAACATTATATAACCCCAAACATCCATGGTTGATATGGTTGATGATTTCTTTCCCCATTCAAATTGCCGTAAATTGGGGCCCCTTCCACATGTCTGGGCAAACCCTGACAGTAATTTCCGAACAAGTAACTACAATCATTTATAATCAATAGCGATCAAAATTGCAAATAAAGCATAATAAAGCCCTCCATCCATGGAATCCATGGTTCATGGTTCATATCCCAAATTTGGGACGCGCTGTCGGCAGGAGCTCAATGCCAGCTGCGGCCAAGAGGGCTGCAGCAAGTTGTGGATCACCTCTGGAGCGCAAGACAGGCAGCAGTGCAGTTCGCTGGGGCCATGGGGGCTGGGTCCCATGGGATTTTCATCATTTCTTGGTGGATGAACAATGATGAACATCACTTTTTTGGTGGTGTAATGTTGATGAATGTTGATGAGTTATGAAGTGATGTGTATCAAAAGCTGAAAAAAACCGTCCAAACCCAAAGCGTGTAAAAAAGGAAGACTTTTGCAGCTTCAGCGGGACCTGTTCGACTGGTGCAGGTTCATGGCAGACGTCGAGGACTGGAGCTGTTCACATTTTGCTGCCAGAAAAGGAAGTCTACGAAGTGCTGTTCAAGAAGATGATGGGCCATCGATGGTAAGAGTTTGAGATATTCTATTTTAAGATGTTGAGTGGAGAAGTTTCTAGAAGAGAATTTCTTTCTCCTTTCCGAATTTCCCGGTCCATCCGATTTTACATTTTACATATTTTACCTTGGTTCCTTTCCAGGATTTTACTCTTCTGGTGGACCACGCGGTGCAGAATCAGGAATTGGGCATCGCCCGAACCAGCCGTCTGCGGCTCGGAGAATCCAACAAAAATACGACCATTTTTCATCATTTTTCCAGCTTTGGGGATGAATTCTACTTCATTCTACTTCACAATGTCCACAGTTCCAACTTTTTTTTTTATGGGGGGGACTCTCTAATTACAAAGGTCATAAGTTATAATAAGTTATAATAAGTCAATATACGTCATATAGTTAATCTTCGGGAAATATCTATGCAAAAATCTCATGTGTTCATCCATGATTCTTCAACATCCCTGAACCTTCTTGATCAATCAAACTCATCAACTCATCAAAAAATCACCAGAAAAAGTTGAAAACATATGCAAAATGGTAACATGATGTAACATGATGTAACATGGTTTTCATCTCAGAGTTTGGAGCCAGGCGAGATGGAGGGCTGGTTGCTGGTGAATGGCACCCACGAGTTGCAGCGACCCGGCAACGATGTGTTTTTCACTAGGAACTTCTTTCGGTTTCACCTGCATTTTTGTCCATTTCCAGAGACAACGGAAAATAACGGAAACATGTTTCGGTATTCTAACTTGAATGGAACTTGAATGGAATGTATTGTCAGTTGCATTTCGTTGGTGGCTTAGACGAAGCAGTGAGGCAGCAGCTGTGCAGCAGCACCAACACCTCCATGACGGCACCGTTTTACGGTGAGCGAACCACTAAGGTCGGTGCGTTGGGCAAAAATTCTGCAGGAAAATGTGTTTTTGAGCTTTCAAATGGGATGTTCTACAGGCAAACTGGTCAAACAGGAGCGAAGAAAACATATTTAGATTATTTTAGATGGCACTATAGTATTTACATGGTGAAAATACAGATTTCCTGTTATTTGATTTATTTGTTTGCTTGGATCAAGCCAGTGGCCGAAAATGGATGAACAGAGAAAATGAACTCGGTTTGTTTAAACCTGGTTTTCTGGTCAAAATTTTCACATGGCCACAACTTCAGTGGTATCCCCGCATTCTGGTGGAGGCGCCTTGCTATTTGAAGCCTAATTCGACAGACAAGGAGAGACTGAGGGCCACTAAGGGTCACAGGTTCTGGGGAACTTCAGCTGGGTATGGCTCAAAACGAGTTGCGCCAAAATTTGGTGGCTGAAATAGCAAGGGCCGGTTGTTTCCAGCATTTGATAATGTTTAAAGATGTTGAATCCCATTTTCAGACTTATTTTGTGCATTTTGGATTTTGGGATCGCAGGACGGCTTGGACTACTTCACCGTGAGGACTCTCATGATGGTGGAGCACTGAGACTGACGAATCATCAATTGTCGCCTGGGTTTCAAATTGTTTCAATGACTTCACAAATTCTTTGAAATCGACTTTGATGTCACAGCTTTGAGCATTTTGAAAATTCTTCCCCACATGACCAGGGTGACCATGACCATGTATTCGAATGTATTATATATATATATATAGAATGTATTAGCTATACATAGATACCTGACATAGCTATACTGATTGAGGAAGGCGAGGCGGATTTCTGGTCACAGAGCTTGGGTGTTCTCTTTAAGGCCATGGGTCTGACCCTGGAGGGTGAAAGCTATGAAGGCGGCATGGAACCAATGGAACCATTGTGGCCATGGCAATCATGGAGTATGGAGACATGGAGATATCAAGCAAGTGGCCCATGGAACCATAATGAACCATATTAATAAATGTATATTTGTAAATATAACAATATATATTCAATATATAACAATATATAACAATTGTAAAATTTAAGGCTGGCTTTTACAAAGATGGATTTCCCACTGTGGAACCAGCTGACACCTCTTTCAGGGTCACCTCTCTGAAAGGCAGCGGGCATTCCTTGCGCTACGAGGACAGGATGGAGCTACTTTTATGTTGTTGTTCAACCAGAGCCAGAATGGGATGATTGGATGGGACCGGTTTTACATGGGTGATGATATCTGGAATCATATGGCTGATGGTTTTCGACCCAGCTTATACAAGTAATTTGGAACTATACCATGCAAGATCAAGCTGTGAGCCGACCGGCCAGGGACTGACAGTGACGCTGAAGATCCATTACTTTGACACATGGCCGTGGCATGGCGTTTTGAGGACAGGAGTGAATGGTATGAAGTGATCAGCCGGGAGTCATGTTGAACGGAAGTTTGCCGAGATGATTTTGACACTTGGAAAGCTGATGAAACAGTTGTAGAATCAGACGAAACAAAAGAGCAGCACTCACGGAAAAGCACAAGATTGTTTAGATATTTAGATGATCTAAAACTATTGCAACATAAAAATCAACATATTACAACACCACAGAAATCACATGAAATCACCGTCATATACTGTCATCACAGGTTCTGTCATCCCACTGTCCCTTGGGTCCTGTTGATGCCAGGGATGGCAACGGCCGAACGAAAGTGTTGTACGTGTGCCCTGTTGCTACAGGTCTTGGTGCAGAAAATTGGGTTTCAGCAGACGCAGACGCATGCAGACATGCAGACAATCGGCTTAGTCATGCTGAGTCAACATCGTCAACTCAAAACTTGCTGAGTGGTAGCAATTAGGACATTTTGCTCCTCATTTCCAGCCACAAATCAACGAACTTAGTCTTTGGTTCCATGATTTGCTTCAGCTGTGGAACCTTGTGGAAAATCTGTTTCCATGATTGCGCCAAGAAATTCTCGACTCCGCTTTTGCTTCAGGTACTCGCTGGTGCCCTTGAAGGACAATCCCTACAAGGCGAAGATGGTAGCTTTGAAAGAGGTTGCTTTTTAAGGCAAGGTTTATAATTTATACAATTCATAGCTCATTATAACCCGTTTATAGCTGCGGATCATTCATGTCTAACCCATAGGTTTGAAAGCAATCCACCCATTAAACAACTCCATGGTTAATTTTTTGGGAAAAATATGACAATCAAAAATTACGAGACCAGCCGGGTGGGGCAAACATTATCACCTCTCTCAGCAAAACATTGTGATTTGACAAATGCTTGTGTGGCTGCACTGGTCATTTGATCAATTTGATCCATACTCAACGGTTTATTTACCCAAAGCGATCTTTCAACAGTGTCCACAGTGTCTTTTGGGACATGCCAACTTTGAATCGCAAAAACCGTAAGAGCTTCTCCAGTAAAGAGAACAAACACCGATTGTGGGCCCGCACTTGAGTGAAATTAGAACTCACCGCTAAAGATGCAGTAAGTGAGAAGGCAATTCGGGACTCTTCCATGGTATGCATATGCATTGCCAGAAATTCAGAGCAAAGCAAGAATTACATGCATTGCAATGGGCGTCCAAAAAACTATTCTGGTCATTGGCCTGTTGGCTTTCCGTTAATCTTTGGTGTTTTTTCATGCCATGTTCTTTCGACGGGTGAAGACCTTGAGTGGTTGATACTGGTTGGTAGTTTCATGCCATGTTTCATTATTTTCATTCATATGAGACTCGTATATGTTCATTAATATTGGTCATACGTTCCAAGTATAAGGAATGGGATGATCCGAGATGATCGGGATCGGGTTTCTGAAGCACCAACTACATATAACATCATATATATATATACATAAATATATATATATGTATGTAACTACATCAGGGTTCCACATCTGTTCCAGGTAAGCGATCTGATCTACTCCAAGTACCCCGAGGAGCGCATCCGACGGGACATGCACGGCATCTACTTGTCCCTTGTCGAGCGACCATGTAGGGCTGCCAGGGTAAAAAGTGCATCGGTAGAATGCCATGGTCACCCCCAAGTTGTGAGATATCCATCATGATCTAGAATGATTTAGTGACTTAGTCACGAATCATAACAGTCACAACCCAGAAATACATTATCATTTAGGCAAACGGTAAACTGGGATAAGTTGGCATTTTTATCCATAAGCAACACAACATCATACAACTACATACCCATGACATCAACATCAAATCACAAGCGCCATGGCTACCTGGCTACCTGTCACATCCTGTCACATCCTGCCACCGGTGAAACTCACCCGACAAGGTCGGCGATGCCTGAGGGCGAACTGGGCATTTTTGATGCGCAGACCTTGCTGCTCACGCACCTGAGATGGAAATAGTCACAGGATGTCACAGGTTTTTCTAACCTGGAAATGGGGATTTGGATGATCTCAATGTTAACAAAAAAATGATAGTTATGTAATATTGGTTAAGTATAGATAAGTATGATATTTTTGTCCCGATGGCGGAAGAACAGTTCCAGCTGTTTGGGATGGTCGGCAAAATTCAGAAGGGTTCAAGGGTCCAAGGGTCCAACAAGTTTTTGCTACGGCAGCGTGACCAACTTTCCGGACACCCACATTTCGAAAGTGTGGTGATGAGTCTGGTGCATCGCACCATTTGGTGCCAAGGGTTACTACCAGCCTTACCCTATTGGCGATTGCTGCAACTGTGGCATGGCACTCAGTGGACTCAGCGCACACAGATCAAGTGAGACACGAAACTGTGACGGGTCCATGGCTAGGTCAGATACATTGCCATGTCGGAGACTCGGAGACTTTGAAGTTGACCAAGTATGTTTGTGAGATGATCAAACATGATCAGAACATGGCAGATATCCAAAGATTAATAATTAATGAGTTTTGATGATTTTAAAGGTTTTAATGGATATGTTAAATGAATTTAAGAGTTGTTAAACTGATTTTGTGCGAATTGAAACGGGGATTTATTGGAATTCACCAAGAATTTATAGGGTGTCTTTTTGGGTTTTGATGATGAAGCATATCAGGATAGAAAAGTGGTTGCAAAACCTCTATTGGTTGATGATTAGTTCCCGTTTCCATGGGGTTTGAGCCATGTAAGGTATGGGGACTAACTGATGGGTGATTGATGATGTTGATTGGTTTTCTTGGGGTCATGCTACCATGCTTTAATATGCTTTAATATGTTTTATATATCGGAGTTTACCATAGTCCATGAACAGAAATTTCCTATTAACCAACCCGGATCCATTGGAATAACAGGGGGGGTTGAGCATTACACATATGGTGATTTAAGGGTGACTTACCTAGATTTACTGGTTGTACCAGTGGGGAGTATCAATGGACCAACTACATTTGGGGACACTTTAAGACCCAGGGGACTGCAGATGGACTAGGGGACCAAGTTACCCTCTGGTAATTTGTAACATAGCTATTGAAAATTGCCATTTATAATGGTTTTTTCCATTAAAAATAGTGCAGAGGGTAAATCGTCAAAATAAAAGTACTAGAGTGTGGCAGGTATATGTCTCAGTCCTCCAGAGACACGCAGCCAGATACGAGACAGGGGGCAGACGATTTGAGTATGGGTCAGAACCCAGGTACCCTTGTGTTCACATTGAAATAGTTGCTTGCTCATGGATGTTCATTCTTGCCATTGTGGTATCATGGGCTTATATCGATCCCAATTTATCAATATATATATAGATATAGATAGATAATTCTGTGTAGAAAGTAGATTTGGTAGCTAACATGGGGTGGGATAACGCTTGGCAAATTTGGTAGCACAACTTTGCACATGTTCATGATCACGTTTTTTGGTGCAGGCTATTTGCGTAGACAATCGTGAGTCATGTCTATTTGATGTTGGCTGCAGGGACAGGACAATGCCCACGCCATTGATGTTTCTTGTCGACGGTACGTGCGTTGATGGCAATACATTCCACAAACATAAATCTATATACATTGTACATTGCTTCGTCAAAAGTTTCTTGAGATATCTTTAAACATTTGAACATGTCTAACTACAGGTTGTTTGCATGTCCGCCACTGCCGCAATGGAGGTGTGTTTTCTGTCAGGTGCGACTCTTGCAGCCCTTGCCCCGGATGAATTCGAAGGAAAGACTGCAAAGGCTGTGAAACAAGCCTTGGCAGTTCAGATTGGTGTCATGAGATTCAAACAACGACTCTTCTCCGAAGATGGTTCTGAGATCCCGGATGATGAGGTTTTTAGCTCCGCTCCAGTGAAGCTTCAGATGGTGGTATTGGATTTTTATCCAGCTGATGCTCAACGAAGCCAACAAGTGATCTCTGCATCTATGGAAAATGATTTGATCGCCCTGGAAAAGTTCCTAAATAGCCCTTCCAATCCCAATGTCACAGACGAACATGGCAACACGCCATTGCACTATGCTGCCAGTGAAGGACATGTTGAAAGCATGCTGCTTTTGCTTGAGGCAGCTGCTGACAAAGATCAAGCACAGAATCGAGGTGCAACACCATTGTTCATGGCAGCTCATAATGGCCATCTTGATGTTATCCGCCATTTGGTGGAAGTTGGTGCTGACAAAGATAAGGCCATGGATACCGGTGCAACACCATTGTTCATTGCAGCTCATCACGGCCATCTTGATGTTGTCTGTCATTTGGTGGAAGTTGGTGCTGACAAAGATAAGGCCATGGATACCGGTGCAACACCATTGTTCATTGCAGCTCAGAACGGCCATCTTGATGTTGTCCGTCATTTGGTGGAAGTTGGTGCTGACAAGGATAAGGCCAGGGATACCGGTGCAACACCATTGTACATTGCAGCTCAGAACGGCCATCTTGATGTTGTCCGTCATTTGGTGGAAGTTGGTGCTGACAAAGATAAGGCCAGGGATACCGGTGAAACACCATTGTTCATTGCAGCTCATAATGGCCATCTTGATGTTGTCCGTCATTTGGTGAAAGTTGGTGCTGACAAAGATCAAGCACAGAATCGAGGTGCAACACCATTGTTCATTGCAGCTCAGAACGGCCATCTTGATGTTGTCCGTCATTTGGTGGAAGTTGGTGCTGACAAAGAGAAGGCCATAGATACCGGTGCAACACCATTGTTCATTGCAGCTGAGAACGCCCATCTTGATGATGTTGTCCGTCATTTGGTGGAAGTTGGTGCTGACAAAGATAAGGCCAGGGATACCGGTGCAACACCATTGTTCATTGCAGCTCAGAACGGCCATCTTGATGTTGTCCGTCATTTGGTGGAAGTTGGTGCTGACAAAGATCAAGCACAGAAGCAAGGTGCAACACCATTGTACATTGCAGCTGAGAACGGCCATCTTGATGTTGTCCGTCATTTGGTGGAAGTTGGTGCTGACAAAGATCAAGCGAGAATCAACGGTGCAACTCCATTGTTCATTGCAGCTAGCAACGGCCATCTTGATGTAGTCCGTCATTTGGTGGAAGTTGGTGCTGACAAAGATCAGGCTCGGAATACCGGTGCAACACCATTGTTCATTGCAGCTGAGAACGGCCACCTTGATGTTGTCCGTCATTTGGTGGAAGTTGGTGCTGACAAAGATCAAGCAGTGAATAGCGGTGCAACATTATTGTACATTGCAGCTCAGAACGGCCATCTTGATGTTGTCCGTCATTTGGTGGAAGTTGGCGCTGACAAAGATCAAGCGAAAATCAACGGTGCAACACCATTGTTCATTGCAGCTAGAACGGCCATCTTGATGTTGTCCGTCATTTGGTGGAAGTTGGTGCTGACAAAGATCAAGCACAGAATCAGGTGCAACACCATTGTTCATTGCAGCTCAAAACGGCCATCTTGATGTTATCCGTCATTTGGTGGAAGTTGGTGCTGACAAAGATAAGGCCAGGGATACCGGTGCAACACCATTGTTCATTGCAGCTCATAACGGCCATCTTGATGTTATCCGTCATTTGGTGGAAGTTGGTGCTGACAAAGATAAGGCCAGGGATACCGGTGCAACACCATTGTTCATTGCAGCTGAGAACGGCCATCTTGATGTTGTCCGTCATTTGGTGGAAGTTGGTGCTGACAAAGATCAAGCACAGAACCGAGGTGCAACACCATTGTTCATTGCAGCTCATAATGGCCATCTTGATGTTGTCCGTCATTTGGTGGAAGTTGGTGCTGACAAAGATCAAGCACAGAATCAAGGTGCAACACCATTGTTCATTGCAGCTGAGAACGGCCATCTTGATGTTGTCCGTCATTTGGTGGAAGTTGGTGCTGACAAAGATAAGGCCAGGGATACCGGTGCAACACCATTGTTCATTGCAGCTCAGAACGGCCATCTTGATGTTGTCCGTCATTTGGTGGAAGTTGGTGCTGACAAAGATCAAGCACAGAACCGAGGTGCAACACCATTGTTCATTGCAGCTGAGACCGGCCATCTTGATGTTGTCCGTCATCTGGTGGAAGTTGGTGCTGACAAAGATCAAGCACAGAATCAAGGTGCAACACCATTGTTCATTGCAGCTAGTCATTTTCTCGTATGAACCATATCTAACGTCAGAGGTACCCACATGTTCAACAAAAAAATCAAGCGGAAATTGATAGATTCAATTGAAGTTTTGAAGTAATAGGTTACAGATTAGTGTGGGCCCCCCCCCCCTCCCCCCCTAAACAAATTTTGGATACAGAATAGTGTGGAAAAACAAGAGGGTCGGGTACAAAATAGTGTGGAATTAAAAAAAATGATAGATTTAAATTGATTTCAATTTACTTTCAATTGATTTCAATTTACTTTCAATTGATTTCAATTTACTTTGAATTGATTTCAATTTACTTTCAATTGATTTGAAGTTAGTTACAATTGATTTCAATTTACTTTCAATTTACTTTGAATTGATTTCAATTTACTTTCAAATTGATTTGAAGTTACTTACAATTGAGTTCAATTTACTTTCAATTGATTTCAATTTACTTTGAATTGATTTCAATTTACTTTCAATTGATTTCAATTTACTTTGAATTGATTTCAATTTACTTTGAATTGATTTCAATTTACTTTGAATTGATTTCAATTTACTTTGAATTGATTTCAATTTATTTTGAATTGATTTCAATTTACTTTGAATTGATTTCAATTTATTTTGAATTGATTTCAATTTACTTTGAATTGATTTCAATTTACTATAATTTACTTTCAATTGATTTCAATCTACTTTAAATTGATTTCAATTTACTTTGAATTGATTTCAATTTACTTTGAATTGATTTCAATTTACTTTGAATTGATTTCAATTTACTTTGAATTGATTTCAATTTACTTTGAATTTATTGCAATTTACTTTCGATTGATTTCAATTGATTTCAACTTACTTTCAATTTACTTTCAATTGATTTCAATTTACTTTGAATTTATTGCAATTTACTTTGAATTTACTTTCAATTGATTTCAATTTACTGCCAATTTACTTTCAATCGACATCCAAATTTTGGATACAGAATAGTGTGGAAAAAACAAGAGGTCGGGTACAAAATAGTGTGGAATTAAAAAAAATGATAGATTTAAATTGATTTCAATTTACTTTCAATTGATTTCAATTTACTTTCAATTGATTTCAATTTACTTTCAATTGATTTGAAGTTACTTAATTATAGCTGATACATGGATGTGCAGACCAAGAAATATCAATACGTGATATTGATTAAATATCAATACGTGATATTGATTGATATTCTATGATATGCCAACATATGCCAAAAGTGTGTTCGACACTATAGGTACTTCCTGAAGCAAAGGAACTACTACAAGGCCTGGTCCCATGGTCGAACGATGACGTGTGTCTCGTGTCTGACTGAGATGCTGATCCACGTGCCAGGAGATGCTGATCCACGTGCCACTGCCTGTTTTGGACATCTCAGCCCTCGGGGTTTGGCTATTGGATGCTATTGGTAAAATTATGTAAACATGATGTATAAATTATGTATAAATGATGTAAATTCGGTAAAAGCAGAGGTTTCAAAGCTCATTAATTTGCTCATAAGAGCTCTGCCAGGTCAGTGCCGATTTCTCAGATGTACGAGATCTGGAGGCCTAAGTCATAGAGTGGCTTAATGCCACTTCAATAGGAGGTACTCGGATTAGACTCGTAAATACATAGATCAGTGGTACATTCATCACAGCCACACAGCCACGAGAGATGCTATTGGATCTCCTGGAGGCAAAGACAGATGAAGAGATTCAGGACTCCGCAGCGCCGCAGAGACAGAAAACGCCATGCGGCCATGGCATGTTGCCAACAGCCGGCCATGTTGCAAACAGCCGGCTTCAACCTCAGTCTTAGCCTCAAAGCAAGTTCCCCAAACATTCGGAAACAAACGAATGTAGACTCACATATACGACAATTGAGTTCTTGAATGAAACACAACGAAACCAAACGAAGTACAAAGTTGGAGCTTCCCGACACGATTTGACACCCCATGACGCCCCATGACGCCCTATGACGCCCCATGACGCCCCAGCTCTCTGATCTGTGAGGAGATTCTGAAGGAGAAGGGCTTGCCACGGACGGGTTCCCGCGTCCAACAGATCTTGAGCATCCTCGATGCTGGTGGACTGAGCCACCACAATCACAGTGAGCCTGCCCGGCTCTCCACTGGTGGAGGCTGCAGCATTGGCAGAGATTTGCTGAAGATTTTTTTACCGTTGAAATTTGTTGAATAATGATTGAATAATATAATATCATATAATAGCTAGGATGATATTAACATATATTCACCCTATCTCTCTATTTCTTGCTGTGAAGGAACAAGTCCTTTCTTTCCATTCAGCTGGTTTCTATTTGGTTTCGATTTGGTTTCTATGATTTCATTCAGCGGACATCTCGCTGGCAGGTGCTCGTCTACTGGAAGCAGGAGAATCGCAGATGCGTCTGCGATGATTCGATGAATCCTTTTTTTTGCAAATTCACAGGCAGCATTGCTGGGTTTTTAACGTTTCTTGATGTTTTTTGTTTTTAAAGCTTCCCGGAATTTGCTGTTCAAACATTTTCCAACCTTTCAATGCTACGGCCCCTGTATGAGATGTTTGTTCCCAAAACTTGAAGATTCACACAAGCAAAGCAATGCAAAGCCTGCAGCCCCACAGTGAAAGCGTCCAGAAGCGAACCCGGATGTTGAAATGCTCATGAACCACATTGAAGCACATTGAAACGTTCATTTCAGGCTTCAGGACATTTCAGGAGTCGATACTCTGTAGAATTCTGTAGAATTCTGTAGATACCTTAGGGTCCTTAGGTCGGCGGCCACTTGGGCCCCCTCGTCCGCCCGTGTGGCACTGCATCCCATTGGGAACCAATGGGATGTGCGACGTTGCCTCGCCCAAAAAGCAGCGGTCATCGATGATCCATGTTTGATGTCAAGTGATGCGAGGACATGTGGGGATATGATGTCTAAACTTCCTCAAATGGGACACTTGCTGATTAAAAGTGGGCAAAATTCATCACAGTTGATCCATGTTGATCCAGTTTTCAGAATTTTTCGGCTATGTAAACACGTGTCAAAACATGTCCTGCGACGCCAATCTAAGAGTGCTGGGAACTGACCTACGTCTACGTGACGCCATCGCAACTGTGGCTCCTAAAGATGACCATTTTTTTTTCACTGCGGTTTCACCATGCATTTCATATTTTTTCATATGGCTATGGTGTGGGGTTTTAAAAATTGCTTTAAACATGGTTTAAAAAACGGCCCAGTCTGCAAATTTTCGGGTTGCCCAATGAGACCACAAGTTGCCGGGATGGTGTTTGAATTGAACCTGCAAACTTCATCGCCATATTTCGAGTCGAGCCACATTTCGATCGTTTAACACTTTTTGGGGGCTCAAATCCCATTCTACTGTATCCCATTCGAATCACCCAATGGTTTTTTCGGATGTGGGTGTGAAAATTGATTCCCAACATATTTCCATCCATATTTCCATCTGTTTTCACCCACTGACTTTCCGAAAAAAAGGATGTTTTGGGTCCCATTGGGTCCCAATGGGTCTGGTCAGGTCCTGGGTGAGACACCCTTCGTAGCGCTGGTCCCGAGGGGTCTGCGTTGGACCAATGCAGGTCGCAGAAAATGGGCCTGGTATCAGCCTGGTATCAGGTGTCGGCGTGTCAACTGCCATTGTTTGCAACAAAAACATGGTGATGAATTGATGGTGATGAATCTCTATACTGATATGGTGGTATTGGAAGATGTTACAACATGTTACAACCCAAAGTTTGGAATTTTATGAAGAATCAGCGTTGGCACTAAACGAGGTTGATGAGGGTTTTTGAACTTATGACGATTAAAGTGTCACAATCTTGGTTATTTTTATAGAAATTGTATGAACTTGTCTTTTGCTGGTTGTTGGTAGTGATTCCCCAGATGGTTTGCTGATGTGCAAAGGAACGGTTTACCACACTAGAAACAACATGGAAGATTCAAAACAACAATCTCCAATGGGAGATACCGCTTACGGTATTGTTATCTTGAGATGTGGTGCAGTAAATTTGACTAGTAGATTGATCACTGCAAAGGATGCGGTATGGGTTTACTTCTGGAATCTGAACCATTTTAGCTTCAAAAATTAACAGATCAACCTGCGCCCATCAGAGACATGCAATTGTAGTGAGTTTCGTTGCTGTCATCGCAGCCAACGAATCACAAAACCCCACATCGTTCAAGATTCGACCCCAGTTGGATCCGAAAACAGTGACAGATGTGACGAAAACAGTGACAGGTGTTGGCGGTTTCTACTTGGGAAGTCAAGCCTTCAACCAAGTGGATCCTGGTCTCAGGGTTTGGCGACTCAGGAGCTTCGATGGATCCAAAGATGGGAAAACATACCACTGACCGGTGAAACATTACCACGCAAAGGCATGTGCAGCATGGAACTGTAACTGTAATTCTCAGTAACATGGAACTTGACATCTACGGATAGCATCGGATAGCGCTATCCGATCTATCCGATCTATCCGATCTATGCGATCTATCCGATCTATGCGATCTATCCGATCTATCCGATCTATCCGATCTATCCGATCTATCCGATCTATCCGATCTATCCGATCTATCCGATCTATGCGATCTATCCGATCTATGCGATCTATCCGATCTATCCGATCTATCCGATCTATCCGATCTATCCGATCTATCCGATCTATCCGATCTATCCGATCTATCCGGTATCCGATCTATCCGATCTATCCTATCTATCCGATCTATCCGATCTGTCCGATCTATCCGATCTATCCGATCTATCCGATCTATCCGATCTATCCGATCTATCCGATCTATCCGATCTATCCGATCTATCCGATCTATCCGATCTATCCGATCTATCCGATCTATCCGATCTATCCGATCTATCCGATCTATCCGATCTATCCGATCTATCCGATCTATCCGATCTATCCGATCTATCCGATCTATCCTATCTATCCTATCTATCCTATCTATCCCTATCTATCTATCCGATCTATCCGATCTATCCGATCTATCCGATCTATCCGATCTATCCGATCTATCCGATCTATCCGATCTATCCGATCTATCCGATCTATCCGATCTATCCGATCTATCCGATCTATCCGATCTATCCGATCTATCCGTAGATGTCAAAATCATCAAAGTTCTTGAAACTTTCGCGATCCGTGGATGATCCGTGGATGATCCGTGGAGTTCCCCAGTCCCAGGCCGATTTGCCGCTGGACCGTGATGGGAAGCTGCTGCTGTACGGCACCTTGTAGCGTCGGGGGCTGAGCTTTTGCCGGATTTACAGAGTTGATAGATAGACAATGGTGAGTACCCTCTGGTAAACTAACATAGCTATTGAAAATGGCCATTTATAGTGGATTTTCCCGTTAAAATAGTGATTTTCCATAGCTATGTTAGTTTACCAGAGGGTAAATACCTGGGGGGTTGATCTGGTTGATTTGGTTGATCTGGCTGACTGGTGATTGTTGGGTTGCTGGTTGGGATGTCATGATGATCATGATGCTTAACAATTAATTATGGTGGGAGTAACATGGATTAACCATGATCAACCTGCATTGGAGCTGGCAAGGTTTTCACGATGTCGCAGGGAGATGATCGTTCAGACACTAACGATGGGACTAGTCTTCCAGCTCGATTGAAAGACAAGAAATGCATACAAAATATACAAAATGCATCCTCAATCCGACTCAATCCGACTCAATCCTTCCTGTAGTTGGCCTCAAAACCAAGAAATATTTGGTTCTTTCCCCGTAGAGTACAGGTCACTGTAAAACCAAAAACAGCCATCAAGAACGTTGGTTTCTTGTGCCTCCAATTTTGCCCCTGGCCAATGTTGTTCGAGGCCATACTTATTGCGCGGCCTTCGCCGCCATGCATCTTCTGCCACGGAGGATGGGTCATTTTCATGATGGTCCAGTGATCAGCGTGACAAATTGTTACAGACAAAAACCATTGGGATCCATTGGGTATGATTCACCCCGTCTGGGAAAGGGATCAGTGGTGAATATGGATATATATGGATTATGGATTATGGATGGTAATTGGATGGTTATGGTTGGCATATCCGATCCGGAAATTTATGCAATTTTCAGTCGTCGGAAGCAATGCCGATTGCGAAGGAGTTGGAATTTCGACTCTTCTCCTCCAGGAAGAATCGCGTGGATTCCCAGTGGTGAAGCCAACAACACAATAATCGTACATTTTAATCACAAAAAAACCGAAGGGTAATGCATTCACAAAATTAATATATTTCATCGCCAGAATCATATCTAATCGGATGAATGATTTTAAAAGTTCTTGTAAACCGCGAATTCGAACGATGCGGGATCCAATGATTGCATTCCAAGACTTCCAAGGCATCATCGGCTGCGTGGGCGAAGCTTTACGTGTCCAGGTGAGGCACCAGGCGAAAACCTGAACGTGGGCTGCGGGATTTCAATGGATTTCAGGTGATGTTTCTTCAGAATTTTCCATAATTTTCCTATCAGATTCTTGAGTTCTGAGAACTAGTTCTCAGGTTCTTCAATTCAAAATTATCGTGTTCATTCATGATTTTGCAATGTTGTGTTCTCATTTGATTGTTAAGCTCAGGATGTTCAGTTGCTCCTCTCCGTTTCAGTTTTCCCCTCATCCCCTCAACCACCCCAAAAAATCCAGAAAGAAACATACTGTGCAGAGGGAACTGTGCAGATCTGTGCAGGACCACCAAAATTGAAACCATGAGTTTCCTGCCATTATTTTTGCATCATTTTCACCGACAAAACCCGTGAGATACTTCAGACATGTTGAATCATATTGATACAATTGATACACCTTAAGGTTTTTCATGGTTTTTCCAAACGGATCTTCCATGTACAGAATGATCAGAATGTGCATCTGAAACGCTCAGCGTTAGGCGTTGCCACCGGCCCTGGTGCGGGCGCCCAGCTCCCAGCACTCGACACGGACACGTCGGACACGTCTCGGCATCCCGAGGCCACGCTGCAGGTCTGCTGTGAAGGGCGGAGTGCCCAACTCCGTGCGGAGCGAAGCTGCGCTAAGGGCGAAGCTGGAACCGGTGATACCGAGTGATACCCGTGATACGGTGAAAATATTGGTGAAATACAGATATATACAGAATTATAGTGAGTTTTTTTTAAAAATGTTTGTAAGCTGGGTAAACCAGCAGCAATGTCAATATATGTCAATAGTGCAATAAGCTTGTTGACCTTGATAAAATAGTTTATATAGCAGTATATAACTTGTATATATCTTGGTGGATGTGCGTTGTTTGTGCGCGTTGTTTGTGCGCGTTGTTTGTGCGCGTTGTTTGTGCGCGTTGTTTGTGCGCGTTGTTTGTGCGTTGAAAGTTGTTTTTCACGAAGTAGGAAGTGATACAGGCAAAACTGACTGTATCAAGAATCCTCCAAGACTTGATCATCATCCAACATGTCGAAAACAATGGAATGTTCATGGATTTTCCATAGGAATTTTCTGAAAACCTAGGGGAATCCTATGGGAATCCTATGGGATAAGGGGCACATTCTCAGGATTCAGAGCCATAGGATCCTCAGGCTGGGCTGGGTATGATCTTGGCCAAGAAGCGGTTCCGGTGCCTTGGGCTGGTTATGATCTCCCAGGTTTGGATCAAAAGTGTAAGGGATCGACAGAAATAGATATAGAATGATATAGATATGTACAGATATGTATAGATATGTATAGATGGTACAGATATGTACAGATATGAATATAGATACAGACTATAGTGACTATAGACCAGATATTTAAGAAAGAACTGCTGCAATTTTGGAAATGGGGAAAGCATGATCTTCAATGTTCCATCCTTTTGGGGACACCCGCTACAAGTACACAGAGGGAAAGCTGGTGATACACCATTGGATTTCAAGTGGCTATAGTGGCTATGGATCGAAGATGATATTTTTCATGATATATTATTATGATATATTTCAAAAAAATGCACGGTGAAGCACGGTTCCGCCATGTTTGAGGCACCGCCATACCAGGAAACACGGTGTTCAGTCAGGCACAGTTGAAGAAAACCTTCCATCATGGGACAACTTTGATCCGAAGATGATCCCATGGTGATCTATCATGATCTATCTTCATTTCTATTATTATATATCTATTATTATATCCTATGGTGATCTATCTTCTATCATGATCTATTATTATATTCCTCCCCAGAAAATTGAAATGGTAGAAATGGTAGAAATGGTAGAAATGGTAGAAGGGACGATTTACAATGCGGCTGAATGTGCGAATGGAGCGCTCGGGAGACTCAGAGGTTTTTACCTGGCACCATGGGAATGAGCGCTGAATGATCCAAGTTGTGGCTGAAATTGCTGGGTTCATCCGGGTTCCCGGTATGTGTTTTACTATTTTACAGAGGGAACGTGATATGATGATTGCATATGATTGCAGAAGCGAACAAAATGCGAGCATTGCCAGTTTAATGGGGAACTTACTATTTTTGATGAAGGCAAATATTGTAACTGACGATCAAAACGGCAACCATTATGTTTTGACCTTTTGACTTGGAACATGATGACATATGATCATTGGAATTGTGGAGATAGCTGACAATGAGGAGCAGGTTTTGCGTTTTTGTGTTTTCCTTTGAAAGCATTGGCTGTTTGACTGTCGTGACCGTCGTAGCTGTGAATCTTTGAGGGGCACCTGGTGGCTCTCCCAAAATTGTGAACTCATGTTGGGAAAAAATGGAAAAAATGAGATCCGTCAATACTGAGTCAATATCTATTGGAAAATATTTGGGGGAACGAAAAAGACAATAACTACATATAATAACCATCTGTTTTTGATCAATGAGTTGGTTCATTTTCCGTTGCCGAGGCAAAGAAACGCTGTTGGAACTCGATCCCGAAACCAAGCAGTCCGCCGCAGGAAACGGAAACAGATAGCGCACATGGAGCTATTTTGATCTGAAAATGATGGGGGTACCCCAATCTATGGCCATAGAACACATGATAGAGCAAAGTATCTAAGGGTACGCATTTTTCAGACAAACCTATTTCACATGTGGTTGATCTTACAAAATTAGAGGTACAAACCATAGAAGATCAAGACATATCAAGACCACAGTGAGAGCTTCATTGTGCAGGTCATCGAGAATTAGAATTCCTTCATGGATTCCACAAGTGGATTAAATGAAGGCACCCTACAGTAATTAGGCAGGTCCACCTAGTTGGAATCCCAAAGAAAGGGGCACACATATGTATTCATTCAGCAACGGCATCATAGAATCATATAGGATTGAAATCTCAGAGCTTTGAAAACGAGGTACGAGATGACTGGACTGCTGCCGGATACCGACTACGAGTTTCACCTTCGCTTGGAAAGCCATGCCGGTGCAGGTGCATTGGGAGTGGCAGCGGCAATGCCAAAATGATCCAAAAGGCACAAGCACGCAGGAAAAGAGGACCAAACATTCTGTATGCGCAAAAAAATAGGAGAAACGAAAACATGGACAATTAATTATTTGACAATTATTTCTTCATGGGGTAAAGCTAAAAACCATGCAACATGCACAAGAAACGTGCCAGAAAGGGGTGGCAATCCCTTCTCTGATTTAGATTGGATCCATTCATTTTGGCTTCAATAAACCAAACATGGATAAACCATGATTTTTGGCTTTGTGTGAAAAGAGGGGTACCATCGAAAAGCCAGCGTTTCATCCATGGATTTTCCCATGGTTTTCCGAGGTCGCGAAGCGACCTGCCGCTGTCGGACCAACAGTCGGTGTTCCAGCCCCTTGCGCCATGGCAGCCATGGAGTTTGGTGCGCCACTGGTGGGATAGAGATGGGGATGTGATGAAAATTGATGAACATTGCCACCTTATTATGTACCATTTATATCCATTTATATTGAGTTATGATGAGTTGTGTATGTTTAATGGATTTGATGGTATATGGTAATACCATGTAATACCATCAATTACATTTTTGTTGGGAAAATTTCATGATGCTGTGGTCTTAAAACCATGATGAAATATATTGCCATATCATTACACAAGACGTATATTTCACAATATGTTTAACGCACACAACTATTTCCTCATCAAATCATCATGCTTCTCAGCAAAATGTCAATTGTCTCACGATTAAACATCAACATCACATTCAACTGTAATCACTGTTGATTGTGTCAATGCTGAATCATCCAACCTGCACCTGGGATACATTCGACAGCGATGGCAATGGCGGGATGGATACTGTTTTGGCAATGAAGGATGTGGATATGGAAACAATGACACTTCATTGTTAAATGTTTACTAAATTTCTCGACCCATACCCATTTGTATCGTTATTCTTATTTGCGAATGTTTTGCATCTGATTCAATGCCTCCCTGTGGTTTCGACCCATAATCCCAATCTATTTATCTATCTATCCATCTATGGATATCCAATCCATGATGCCCATAAGCACATCTCATCGAGGTGTAGTAACCCATCATATCTGGCTGGTTACGTTAAAACAACAATATTGGTTCTATGCTATACTCCATTTTTATCCATTTTTGACCACCTCACTATAGTTAGTTGGTTTGATACGTTATAAAAAACGTTATAAAAAACGTTATAAAAAAACGTTATAAAACGTTATAAAAAACGTTATAAAACTGTTGGTTGGTCAATCCCATTCAGATCACCACATTTGGACAGAACAGAAATCACCCGAGGAACGTCGTCAGCGCCGGAGCTTCCACCACCTACGTGGACTTGCAGTGGTGCGCCCCAGAGGTGCCAAAAAGCACTTACCTTGGTGGTGGATGGTTATTTTTCAAACATTTCTTAGTCATGTTTGATACATTGTTATATAATGTTATATATACTGTTCTATATATATAGAGAAATATATAGAAATAGAGATAGAGATTCATGGATAGTTAGGTATCATATTTGGATTGATGGATGGATATATATATATATATACATACAGTTATAATATATATATATATATTATACACACGTGCACAGCCGCCGCAACCACTGCATTTGTGAGGAAAACATATAGCTATACAAATATACAAAGGTAAACCATGTTTGCTTTATTTTCCTCCACCTCCACCACGGAGATTGGAGCTTTTTGCCATGTTTTACGAGAACTCGCAAGGTATCCAGAGAGTGGGATGATTCTGAGAAAATTATGGAAATATGTTGAAATGTTCATAACACATTCATGCATTATCGCAGTATTTATGTATATATATATAAATATTGAGTATATGTACCCCTGTAACGAGGACCCCCAAATGGCTGGTTACTGTGATGGTTTATCGTTGAGCTTGCCAGAGTATATACATTGTAGGGATGGCTAGTACATTGGTACATATATTGGTTTCATGGTATGATTGTGGGCCAGTGGGGAGATCAATATACTATCCATGGGCATGGCATGGGCATGTTTGACGGTGTAGCTGCTGGAAAAAAGCCCCTGATTTGATGCAAAGATGAATGAAGGAGAGTACACTTCGAAACTGAGAGTGTAGTGGTGAAAAATGGAGATGGTCCAACACCAAATGCTGGAATTACTCTACAGAAATTGGGACATTGCCTCTAAGTCTCTAAGTGATTGATAGTTTGCTTTTATAGGGATGGGACCTCACTCTACTATGAGAAGCCAATTCTCAAACAATCAGAAGGGGATGACTGAAGGTGTTGTGCCCTCAGCTGAAAATTGAGGCAGACCACAGAGTTTTGGTTGCCATCAGGGTGATTGAAGGTGGAGAACCCCAAAATTTGATGCCAAAAATAGGTAGAATTGTTTTATTTATTTTTCCCAATTATAACATATTGAAAATTGCCCTTTTGAGGTATTCTCCATTTTCGGACATGGCATGTGTCTACAGGTGGTTGGCAACGAGCGAACCCAGGACCGCTGGCAGTGGCTTGGCAGTCAGTGGGAGAATGAATGGTGTATGGACCAGTAAGGACCAGTATGGAAGTATAGATTTTTTTAGGGCATACCTACCCAACAGTAGTAAAAACTGTGCAAAGGTCACATAGCTCATGTCAGTGGCAATCTGACTGCAATAGTCAGGCTGCAATGTTGGAAAGACATGGAAAGACATGGAAAGCCTACCTCTCAGATCTCAGTCTGCTGTGGGAAAGCCTTCGCCCAGGTTGAATTCTGAGAAGATCATCCGCCGGACACCCAAATTCCGGTGGAACCACGTCAACAGAAGCTTGGGTGTCCATTCCGACGGCTTTCAGAGAACCATTTCAGCTGCATAGAACACATTTTTCACAAGTCTTGGAGATGGGAGAGATGGTCACTGAAGCACTGACTTACCTAACTATTTTCGGGAAATCTGCACAATCCACATTTCAAATCGTTTCGATAGTTGAATCATCGTTGCTGCGAGGTTATGAGGCACTACTCTCCATTGCAGAGGCGGTAGCGAAGGAGCGGAAATCTCTTCTGAAGAGCCAGGGGAACTCAGAGACAGAGGGCATGGCTCAAGAATGGTGCCGAAATGCCGCTAAACTGGTGGGTATTATACTACGATGATCCAAAAATCACCAAACATGGGGCATTTACAATTGGAGTATCAGGATATGAATCATCCATGGATGGAATTGGCGCATTAGCTCAACCATCCATTTCTTGATTTCAATCTTGTTAAGCCATGATTTACCTACTTTATTCCTTCAGCTTTCATGAAACCAATAGACTTGCTTTCATTGCGGTAAAAGCTTTCCATCTATTCTCATTCCAATTGTTCCATGGCATTTTGCAGCTTATTTTCACCAAAGAAACTCGGCGTCTCGGCGTCCAAATGTTCGCCATTTTTGGTGCCATGCTCCGCCTTGCAGCGCTTTGGGCTGCCGTGGTGGCTGAAACGGCCAACGATTGTCTGGCGGAGGATGCAGCGGCGGATGCGGCGAATTATATGTTGGAACACAAGGCCCTCAAAGTGGACAAGAAGGACCTGCAGATGGAACAGAGATTTAGCTGATTTATATTGATTTATGGTAGAACAATTGGTGATTAAACTGATTCAACCGCTAAAAGTTAATGTTCATGCTGTTTCAAAGTTGTCAAGCACACTTGTTATTTTTTTTGTTTTTTTCAACGCGGTTTCCTCCCTGTTGACTCATGTTTTATGCCGTAGGATGATTGTGTGGTCAAGGGACGCTATCACTATCCCAACATGGACAGCAAGCGGATCGTCGTGAGCAACTGGCAACATTGTCAATCCTATTGTCGAATCACGCCAATGTGCAACTGGGCGTTGCTTCCATGAATGCAATGGACAGTGTTTGAACATGTTTGAAGCTTTGGAATTAAGCCCACTGATTTTACGGCATGGGCATGGGCAAAGTCTTGAAATTTTTCAGGTTGAAAAAACCTGGGATTCAAATCACCTGCATTCTCCTTCAGTTCCAGCGCAAGAATCAAAGTTTGAAATTGTTTAAGGGTGAATCGACTAATAACTGGTGTCCAATCTTCTTTAGCCACCAGTCCAAGAGTCACCGCCCATATTGTCCGTTTCAGTCCATCATCTCCTGCAGTATGTTCAGCATGACGCAGTTTTCCATTCATTTTTGCCATGAGTTTCAATGATTTTGTATATTTTGTATGTCAAACTGCTGCTTTTCTGAGGCAAATTCTTCTCTTATTGGCCTGACAAGGGCTGTCAACTCCAAGACTCGGAAGGTGACTTCCGCTGGGTCTCCAACAAAGCGTACAGTGAGGTGCTCTCGGGCCCTGCCGTCTGTGGGGAGGAGGAGTTGGGTGCTGCGCCCGGAGGGAACTCCAACTACTTGGACTTTTCCACCTCGTCTGCTGATTGATTTTCCATGTTTTGTTTTTGGAAGTCTCCCATTGATTGTTTTTTATGGGTGAATCACAGTGAATCTGAACTGTTGAAGGATTTTTTTGGATGTTCATTTTCCTGCATCTCTTTAATCTCTTTAATCTTTTTAATCTCTTTAATCCATTGTGCAAGAAAGGAATCTACTGGGAAACTTCTCAATTGATGCGTTCCCTGTTTCGCCTTTCTCAGGTATTGCGTGCAGAATCCTACCGATCCCTGCTGTCCCTGTGGTACTTGCTGTTTGCCCTTTTGCTCCACAGATCATAAATGGTCCATTCGGGATGGATGTCCCAATGCTGCTGCAGGATATTGTGATGTCCCCAGCGCCAAGTCGTCATGCTAAAACTGAACTAAAACTGTACAACAAAAGTCTCCAAAACTGAGCTTCAGTTCATCGTTAAGCATTTCCCGCCTGAGCTTCGGCATTGCCTGCGTTGAGGGGCGGTGCGCAAAAGCCGCAGCCACTGCCAAAACGAGCGAAATGAGGATCTCAGAGGAAAAGAAGCGATGCTCCAAGCAACGGAGTTGCCGCAATGTCCGCTCTTCGTTTATTCTTCATTGCGAGTCATGGTCCAAGCTTTGAATAGCTTCATCGAAAGGGCAATGAGATCGGAGACCCCCAAAACCATCCAAAACCCTATTGTTTGAGGGTACTGTATTTGACACGCGGATGGATTCGCCTCATTCTTGGGGTGCTCACTGGTACAATGTGAGGACCTACATTGGAAATCACTGGAACAGCTTCGGTCAATCTGCAAAGCAGCTTCAAGCCTAGCAACGTGCCTAGCAAAGCCCAGGTCGGACGTCGGTCAATCTGCAAAGCAGTCCCTCTTCGCACCCCACATCCAGCAGGCCAGCTGTGACATCAGCGGGGTGCTTCAAGGTTGTGGCACAGGACTCACATGACCCATTTTCATACATGTTATACAATCCATTTTACAATACTTTATACGATTTATTTTCGCATGGTTCTCACACATTTTTGCACATATTGCATGTATGAATGGGACATACTGTATACTGCCATAGGCAATAGATTTGCGTATCATAGTTTTGATACATGGATAAGCTAAGATCACAATCATGGGAACACGCAGGTCTTTCCATCATCAAATTATTTATGCAACTTGCATGCACATCACAATCATAATCATGCTGTCATGCTCGGAAAGATTACACGACTAGTCATAGTCATAACCAACCTCAGTCAGTGTTTTTTGTGGTTTAAATATCCATGCAACTTACATCCATCAGAAACAGAATCATAGTGTAACAATGATTATTAATATGTGTTTCTGATGTAACATGATTTGATGTGGGAATATCATAATATCCATCAGAACCAAATTGCAGTCATGATCACAATTACTATTGCTTGGTTTTATTATCCCTATCCATCCTCCCTATGTTATGTGGAATGCCTCCAAAACATAGGGATATTCAAACCGTCCAAGGCTTCAATTATGCACTATATTGTATGGAGGGCTATTTTTTTTGGGAATTTTTTCCCGTTTTTTTTTTGGGATTTTTTTCCCGTTTTCTGGTGGAAGGAAGGTGCGAAGAAGGAAGGAAGGAAGGAAGGAAGGAAGGAAGGAAGGAAGGAAGGAAGGAAGGAAGGAAGGAAGGAAGGAAGGACGGACGGAAGGACGGAAGGACGGAAGGAAGGAAGGAAGGAGGGAAGGAGGGAAGGAGGGAAGGAGGGAAGGAGGGAAGGAAGGAAGGAGGGAAGGAGGGAAGGAAGGAAGGAAGGAAGGAAGGCAGGAAGGCAGGCAGGCAAGCAGGCAGGAAAGAAGGAAGGAAGGAAGGAAGGAAATAAGGAGGGAAGGAGGGAAGGAGGAAAGGAGGGAAGGACGAAAGGAAGGAAGGAAGAAAGGAGGGAAGGAGGAAAGGAGGGAAGGAGGAAAGGAGGGAAGGAAGGAAGGAGGGAAGGAGGGAAGGAGGAAAGGAGGGAAGGAGGAAAGGAGGGAAGGAGGAAAGGAGGGAAGGAGGAAAGGAGGGAAGGAGGAAAGGAGGGAAGGAGGGAAGGAGGGAAGGAGGAAAGGAGAAAAGGAGGGAAGGAAGGAAGGAAGGCAGGCAGGCAGACAGGCAGGCAGGCAGGAAGGAAGGAAGGAAGGAAGAAAGGAAATAAGGAGGGAAGGAGGGAACGAGGAAAGGAGGGAAGGACGAAAGGAAGGAAGGAAGAAAGGAGGGAAGGAGGAAAGGAGGGAAGGAGGAAAGGAGGGAAGGAGGAAAGGAGGGAAGGAGGAAAGGAGGGAAGGAGGGAAGGAGGGAAGGATGCAAGGGGGGAACGAAGGGAAGGAAGGAAGGAAAGAAGGAAGGAAGGAAGGAAGGACCATGTGTGCAGTTAATACTTGCAGCTTGCAGCCACCACGGGCAGCGTGCAAAGTGCTGCTGAGCTGCTAGAGCTGAGGGGTTTCCAAAACTATTTTCTGGCCTTGTCCGGGCCTCGTTTTGGCATCGTTCTTGGCCTCGTTCGGAACCCGTCGCAGAAATACTGAGGTGAGATGCAAGTCAGAGCCACATAGATGTGTGACCATGTGTGACCAAAGCATACCAAAACATACATGAACCATGCGCTCACATTTTGTTTTAAACCAAAAAATGACTTTTCTTAGATGTACTTGTTTTAACCGGCTCCCCTTGCTACCTACTCTGATTCCTTTTTCAGAAGCATCATCGGTTATTTGCGTTCATTTCATCTTCATTGATCTCCATCGCGACTTGTGCCTATGTACTTCTTTCATGTTCTTTCTTGGTACGCATTGCAGGGGACCCCCCCACCCGCTTTTTTTTTTCCATCGGCTTCCCTTGCTACCTACTCTCTTGCCTTTTGCTCATAAGCATCGTTTCTTAGGGTTCATTTTCTCTTTCTTCTTCTTTCAAAATATCCATCGAGACTTGTGCCTATGTGCTTCTTTCTTGATCTTGTCGTTCTTACTTGCAATATATCCATTGAGACTTGTGCCTATGTGCTTCTCTCTTGGTACGCATTGCGGGGGGAGGCGCTGCGCCCTCCCCCCTGCACCCCCCCACCCGCTTTTATTTTTAAACCGGTTCCCCTGACTACCTACTATTCCTTTCTTTTTGCATAAGCATCATCGTTTATTTGGGTTAATTTCATGTTTGTTGATATCCATCGAGACTTGTGCCTATGTGCTTCTTTCTTGATCTTCTCGTTCTTACTTGCAATATATCCATTGAGACTTGTGCCTATGTGCTTCTCTCTTGGTACGCATTGCGGGGGGAGGCGCTGCGCCCTCCCCCCTGCACCCCCCTACCCGCTTTTATTTTTAAACCGGTTCCCCTTGCTACCTACTATTCCTTTCTTTTTGCATAAGCATCATCGTTTATTTGGGTTAATTTCATGTTTGTTGATATCCATCGAGACTTGTGCCTATGTGCTTCTTTCTTGATCTTCTCGTTCTTACTTGCAATATATCCATTGAGACTTGTGCCTATGTGCTTCTCTCTTGCTACTGCTACTGCTACTGCTGCTGCTGCTGGCTGCTGCTCCTGCTGCTGCTGCTGCTACTACTACTACGACAACGATGACGACGACGACTACTACTATTACTACTACTACTACTACCACTACTACTACTACTACTACTACTACGACTACTACGACTACTACGACTACTACGACTACGACTACGACTACGACTACGACTACGACTACGACTACGACTACGACTACTACTGCTGCTGCTGCTACTGCTACTGCTACTACTGCTACTACTGCTACTACTGCTACTACTGCTACTACTGCTACTACTGCTACTACTGCTACTACTGCTACTACTACTACTACTATTACTACTACCACTACTACTATTTTTTTTTGATCTAGGTTTGCAACACGAAACCCGTGAGGTCTCACACAGTGGCACCTGGATATTATTTTTTTTGATGCACATTTTTTTTTTTGATGCGTGCTGGATATTTTTTTGCTGCATTTATTTTTTTTTTGATACGTGTCTCCACCGGCACGTTGTTTCCATACCTGTTGCCACCCGTGAGACTTTATTTGTATGTGCTTGTGGTCACATTTGCCATTCACACGAACTATTTCGACGCGATGCAACCAGACTCATACCAGCACTGTGGGCTGAAGAAGCGCCGTTCGAAACTGTTAGCACACAAGCAAACATAGATCATAAGTGCAAGCAAGAGCACAAACGAAACCGCACCAACCAACCAACCAACAATCCATCCATCCATCCATCCATCCATCCAACCATCCAACCACAACAACAACACCATGCAAATCAGAGAGCTTAGCTGCAAAACGCTGCAAATACCAATCAAAACCATCAAACCCCAAAAAACGGGAAAAAAATTCCAAAAAAAAACGGGAAAAAATTTCCAAAAAAAATTGCAGCCCATATTGTATTATTACCAAAGCACGAATAAAGTATCCTTTCAGACCATTATATGTTGAGTATCATTTGTATGTACGATTTTATAACTAATGTAACCAAACATATCATCCATATGAATATATAGATTATCACTGATCAATACGATACATATTATATACAGTATATTAATTAATTATATATATATATATGTATTATGTATTCTAATTTGTATTATATATTACATGTTTTTTTTTTGACGCATGTCCAACAGAGGCCCTGCAGTTGGGACGTGGCCTCCAGCGTCTCGCCTCTGTCGGGCCGATTAGGTGGTCTGCGTGCGGGGCCTCGGTGGGTTCAGCCATGGAAGAAAAAAAATAAAAACATACAGCAGATTTAAGGAACATATGAGATTTCTATAAGTATATGATATTTAGAATGGATTTACAGTAGATTTATAATAGATTTTATAAGATTTCTATCAGTATATGGTATTTATAATATGTACAATAGACTATGTAATAGAATACAAATCAGTCCGCCATTCTGGTGTGGATATAGCAGACTATATGACATTCTAGCTAACAACTATGAGATGTTAACTTTAGCATATTATGTAGATATTCAGACAATTTCACATTCAAATGTATCATGAAACCCAATAGTTGGGCCATTCTGTAGTAGAATTCTCCAACTGGGACCCCAGTTTTAAATTTCCTAAAATGTAAAGAGTGTATATATGCACCAGGCCCTGCCACCCCCCCCCTCCCCCCCCCATATGGGATGGGTCCCATATACTGGTCCCATATGAGATCTTCCCCTTCCCCCCCTGTGGTGTGGTGGGGGTGTGGCACTGTCCCCCTCCCCCCCCTGTGGTGTGGTGGATGGGTCCCATATACTGGTCCCATATGAGATCTTCCGCCTACCCCCCTGTGGTGTGGTGGGGGTGTGGCACTGTCCCCCTCCCCCCCCTGTGGTGTGGTGGATGGGTCCCATATACTGGTCCCATATGAGATCTTCCCCCTCCCCCCCTGTGGTGTGGTGGGGGTGTGGCACTGTCCCCCTCCCCCCTGTGGTGTGGTGGGGGTGTGGTATGGTATGGTGGGTATGTATGGTGTGTATGGTCGGTCTGGTATGGCATGTTTG